AATGTAGCACATATGCCATCAACTTTAATAAATCATTTACTTTCTCAGGGTGACCTTATAATTATGAAACGGTGCAAAAGCCGACACTATCTTTAAAAAATTCGTAAAAAATTTGAGGTGAAGGATATTGCGACCACAATTTGAGTACTGAGGTACATTGTGACGAGGAATCTACCAGTGTTTGCCAAAAAATTCCATTCTGGCTGCTTTCTCCAGAATCGCAAAAATCTGGGGTGACCTTATAATTATGAAACGCACTGTATCCACAGCTATGAAACCGAGATGATTGTCGTGCCTCACCCGTGATCATATTCGGTATGAAATCTTTGTGCCCGGGAGCATCCAGGAGTAGAACTCGCTTTGATTTGGTTTCGAAGGTTGTTTTTGCAATATCCATGGTTACACCCCGAGATCTTAATGGAGAATAATGGAAGAACTTTGACATCCAAATCGCATTTCCATCGGTATCCTCACCGTTCCTCTTCTGTTTCATCCAACACCCATGCAAATGCAAAAGAGGCCTTGCCAGATCTGGCCGACTCTTGCTTGTACTTATGAAGTGTACGTTGATCCACACACCCTAGCTGAAACAGGTCGCCCAATCAGACGTTTCATTAACAGAACATAATTCATAACAAAGTTGAAGTTTGGGATATTTTTCAAAGCCCATTGGTGTCAGACCCTTTTGAAAAAATTCTCAAAACTTTCTACTTCACAAAATAATGAATAACCCGTGCAACAATAACTATAGTCAGGAAGTGATCGGAAAATCCGCTTCAGAAAAAAGAGCGTGACATATCGAGCATGGAGTAAAAGCGCCGAGTAAAACAAAACAAACCCGATAGAGAAGATGGCCCATAAGTGTGCTTTTACCGGCATCGACATGCCCTACGACGACCAGATTAATCAACTCTTTGCCTTCATCGCGCCGGCGTGAACGTTTCGGTGTTGTTGGCATTGATGTGATAGCTGCCAACTGGCTAAGCCTAAAAAAGATATTTTAATGTTCAAAGGTCAGAGCCACTCAATTCAAAAGAAATTTAACCCATTGACGACCATGCAGTCCACGTGTAGAATGCAATTGTATTTTTTGTTTTATTCATCTAAATTTCACCTTTCTTTTAATTCTTCTTCTCAGAACATTACATCAGGCCTAAAGGGAACTGTTACAGCTCCGAGACGAAGTGCTTTATCGAGCACAAGACGACAACAATTAATTTGCACACCGTAGAATGAGGCTTTTATAGTAGAGTTATGCAATCAGTGACTAATAATGTGATTGCTAGACAGTATAGTTTATCACTAGTCAAGCCCATGAGAGTTAGCATACGATCGTTGAGCGATCGTCTACAACAGAAACTACAACAGCGTCGTCCTAGAAAACCTTCTAATTTT